GTTGGCACATGACTCTGTTGCTCCACAAAAAACAGGTGGCTGTAAACGGCCCGGATATATACCCTCGAAGAAAAGATCAAATATTTATATGGACAGGTCTACGAGACAAACTCAACGCAAAGAAGAAGAGGGTCAAGCGATTGAAGTCACTGTCATTGACGAACCTTAGACCTCTAAGGTGCAAGTTTCAAACCGTGGTATTACCATTTGACTTTGAATAAACAAATTCACCGTCCTCCGACTCAACATCTCGCTAATCATGAGAAGTCTTAATTTCATTGGATATTCCAGAACTTATGACCCGGTTCATCACGAGTGAACAATGGACCCTCATGATTCTATGACTCACCCCCAATGCCATCAGTTGCACAGTAGTGTTGAATGCATCACAAACACATTGTGGATCTCACGGATGGACAATATGAGAAGTATCACGCATTCTCCCTCGTGTTTTTTGAGATGTGCAACCAACGGACACGTTTATTTCTGTGTTGCATTCACCTGATTCGTGCATGTGAACTAATCGGATGTGGTTTAGTTTATTGGGCTGTTAGTGCTCGGGTTGAAAATGCGATTTTGGACCGCAGTGGACCAAAGAAGTCATTCAGTAGAAGGAGGGAAGAAGAGAGAGGTCGCTCCAGAAACCCTCTGTGAAATCAACTTTCAAATATCTATCGAATAAGAATTTTCGATTTTCTCAAAACGGTGAGAGATTCATGTAATCGAACGTTGATGATTTCATTCGACCCAGTAGACTACGTTGCGGTCCAGAAAAACATTAAGCTTGCAATCTCTGTTTTTTCTTTCATACAGTGCCTTGCAAAGCCGGTGGACCCAGATTTTACCATTCACGGCTTGTGGTAAGTCATCACCATTGTCACCACTACAGAATGATCACTGTATATCAATTAAATCATACAGGTTTAACTTGTGTCTATAAATTCCTCGACATCATATTCGACTCTTATTCACTCTGGCGCAGATCTGAATAAATTTCACTGAGTACAGCAACCTTTAAATCATTTATGCTTCACCATTAATAATACTTAGCAATATCATTTTGATTCAGAGTTACGTTATGGTATGTAAGCACTCACTCAATCATAATTCGTGCTTTTGTATTGACTCGCATCAGCGAAAAACTGGGACTTCATCTCAGTTTTTCTGTTTTATTTCCCTTTTAATAGGCCCACTAAATGGCCCAAGGGGGAACCTGAAGAGTGCCCCATTGCACCGCCTTTTGACGAAAGTCTCCTGAAAGTAAGGTGACTTGATATTACTTTTAGTTTTACTCGAAAGTATTTTGTAAATTATGCATCTTAATTTGGTGAAAATGAGAAGAAATCAACATGGCAGTCTTAAGGATCAAAGTCAATGTTTACTTTAATTAGCTCATCATATTCTGTCCTAATGTTACCCAGTATGGTTGCACGCCTTGAAACTAGCAGCATCAACTGGAATAGTGCTATTCCAGTACAGCATTGTAGCACTCAAGTAGCTTTTTTCTTAATTCCCTGCTCAGCAAAAGATTCAAAACTTTGGTTCATCGATTTCCTATTGCAAAATCATTCTATGTGAATCTCAGTTTCTGTGTAATCCTCTCTATTGAGTATCAAGGAGTTAATTGCAAGCTCTCAATTCCATTACATACTAATCTCTATACCCACCTTACTTATTTTCCGACGTTCTCCGCGATTCCGCGAACTCAATAGAACAGCCGTGATCATTCGATCATAGAATGTGAATTACTCAAACTCACGTGAATTCTCATCGCTGGAATTCTTTTTGTAACTCTCAAATGTATAACAATAGGGAAATAAACATAGGCCTAACTTTAGGTTGAAAAAAATGCATTTTTTTGTCTGACCCAAATCAATCGATAGGAAAGAATGCTTTGGAAAAAAATTGTGTTCAAAAGAAAGGCAGCTTTCGGGGCGGATTTGTCAGGTGTTAAGAAAATACTGATGATAGCAATGAAATTTTCGAATATGGCATATACACATCAGCAATGGCAATATGATGATGAAAATCACAAATGAGCACTGAGGCGAGTCACGGTAGAACGAAACTGGTGCCAAATTGAATCGACTCCCGATGATACGGCAAGCTCATGTGGTTACAGACTGGTTTCCTCAGTCCAGAGCACCCTACTTTCGCAGATGAAATTCTTACACCTGTGGGAACAAGTAAGCGTCCTTTCGATAAGTTCTGTTATCTGCCGACCAATAACAGCTTTTAAAGGCAGATGAGATCAACATTTGCACAGAATAAAGCAGATCCTCATATATTAAAGGACGATCGCTTTCAGTCGGTTCCCGTATCGAAGAAGAAAGAGAATGCTTTCGATATTTAATTCCCTATCACTCCAATCGGTTCCATGCAAGTAGAAACACATCTGACCAAAACGTTGAAGTGAATTTACATTTAATAATCACATGTTTTAAGTGGATAAATATTTGGTGGTAGGAATCAGAAGGATCAGTTGAGCAAACAGAAGATTCATCGTCATCATCATCATCATCATCATCGCACAGCAAGATGCAGTGAAGCGAACCTCGCCGATCGCTGTCAAACTCACAATGTACACAGAATAAGTGAGAAATTACACGATAGACATGGTTGGGCCTGGTTGGAGGGAGGCAGAGAAAGTGATTGAGTATGAATAACACAGCGTGAACGACCTAACTGTGCATAAATGACTTCTCAAGCATTCTGACTTACCAATAAATGACAACAGGAACACCACTGCCGTCGGTTAATTTCCACATCCTTCAATGTCTCCAATAAACCAGTTGCAACGTCTTCGGGAACCCAAACTGGAAGGAGGAAGATACCTACTCCACTTTGTCGCTCAGTGCATTTCTTCATACCTTGTTTCCACACTGAACTCCACGCGGTTTCATCCAATTTGAAACCGCAACAGCGGATGAGGCACGGTGAGTTAGACGACAGCTGATCATGCTCAATATGTGTCCAAACCAGCAGATCCCACTGATCTGATGTGATGAATCCGTATCACCGAATCATTACCAAATACGCAACGACTCACCTCAGATTTGCTTACACACTGGCACCATCCAACCCGCAGCCAACGACCTACGTATCAGCAGTCGAAGACTTCCAGACGATGAATACCTTCCACGCACAAAGGCAAAGCAGAACTGACCGCAACCTGGCGTAGTATACGCAAACTTTCCTTTCCAATGAAACATCGCGTATGCACTAAAGGTGTTTCAGTCCTGTGTACGCTGCTTTAGCGTTGATTATGCTACTATCATTTGTCACGTAAATGTCTAAGTTGAAAACCAATCCAATATAACTAATTGTCGACCATCAAGCAACAGAGCCGGGGGGAGGTTCTCCTTTTTATAGCATCAATCGGCACTTTGATGAGGTGAAGCGCATGCCGAATGGAGTTACAGAACTTTAAAGTCTGTCAAGAGCGCTTTGTATATCCTCCTTACATTCAAACAGACAAACGATGTCGTCAGCGTACACTAAATCACACAACGTTTCTCAAGCTATTCATTCAGTACCAACAGCTTGAAGACAATTTAGTGTGTTCTCTAATATTCCGTCGACGACGAAGTTGAGTATGAATGGCAAAATAGGGCACCCTTGACGAACACCACTCCTGCCTGGTATGGTACGCTTGCGCTAGCCTACCGTAGACCCTTACGCTTCAAAAAGTATCCAGGCTCAGGGATTGCAACAGGTGTACATACTTCTGTGGTTTACATTTGCGAAGCAACGACAATCGAAGTTTCCTTTTAGGCAAAGGAACACTGCGATTGTTGGCCGAAGATATGTGTGATGTAATTCGAGGATTTGAGGTACAGTGAAGACACAACCACGATCTGGGAGGAATCCTGCTTACTGTTCGCGGATATTCATCGCATCATAAGTTGACACTCATGCGAGGATCGGAACTAAACGTATTCTGCAGGGGTTGACACAGTCTTTGCGTGATCCTTCCTCGAATATCAGGACGAGGAAAGATTCCTCTGAGGGTAATCCGACGCACTCTTCCGACCAGAAGTTGTGAACTAAACTGCTAATCTCAAACAAGCTTCGGCTGTGCGCAGCTTTCCAACCTGGACATTATTATCACCTAACAGCACTATACCATCAGGGTTGCTGCTCAATCAAATGCGTTCGGTCATTTTGTTGTAAATTTCGTTCTTTTGTGATTTGGGACTGTAGCTGGTTGGTGCATATACAGCGATGAAGAACAAACACCTTTTTGTGTTACTTTCATTTCGAACGCTAACTGAATAATTTAGTATCACTGCTTACAAACGACCATTGATGGGTATCTAATTTATCAATAAAGCCTCAACTTCATCGCTTAGTACGATTCCGACACCACTCTGACCCAGTGGGCATCGTCTCCTGATGTGTGGAGGAAGTACCTCGAGGACAGACCCAATGCATTGAGATGGTTTATAATTCTAGGATCCTGAATCCGGGTTTCCGATAAGCAACAGGCATCAATTTCCGGATCTAATTATACGCTCATTACAGGCTTGTTGGCCCATCTACATCAGAATTTGCACGTTAACGGTCTCCAGATTGGAAGTTGATAAATTATTCGAATGTGTAAATTATTTAGTGGTAAGTTAACTGCAGTGGTATTTACTGACGACCTTTGGCAATTGGCAAACTGATTGATAGAGAAAATGTTATGAGTCGGAAGTAAAGGAAAAGGGAACGCGTTGAGTAGACAGAGGACAAAGAGACAAAGAAGGATTGAGATGTCTGAGCATTAGCCTACTTATCACTATCCACCTCGCTCGATGCAATGGGTAATGCGGTCCTACTTATTCTGTGCAATGCAATACAATGCAATATGAAATTATTTTTCGTTTGTACTCATCATAGCTTTAGAAAGGGCTGGTGCTAATGATTCCAACCACTAAGCAGGAGAAAGTTAACGATTCTAAACCAATGCCTTTGGTTCTGACAAGAAACGAACCGTAAGACAGCGGGTAAGGCGGAGTGGAGGTCCATTTACTTGGTTAAATTACTCTGTCGTTCAGTCAGCAATTTCACTGTCCGAAACGCCACTTGGTGTCGAAATCCCAATGTGGAGGACTAGGAGAATAGACTTTGTTCGATCTCAACCGTTGGGCCTTCGAGGCATGATTAGATCTTCGGCTTAACTAAGGCAAACCTGTTGGGTTTTAGAGGTGTACTACCTATAACGCCAAGTTAGGGTGCAGCCTCATCGTAAAAGAAATACAAGATTATTAGGCCTTTGAATCGATTTATTGAGGCCTTGGGAGAATTGTCGGATCAGGGAGACCCGCTTGCTGCTGTCAGATTAATTTAGAAATTATTTGTGATTCATACACTAGTTTAATATTCTGGGAAAACAAAAATACGGGCATATTTTTCACATGTGACTTTTGGCATTAAAGAAAAAAGCAACGTTGACATTGCTGTATCACAATATCAAACTAGCTTTTTGTGACCATGAAGTTCCAGTGTTTCTAGTATCAGATCGCTCTAGACTAAGCTAAATACAATTTAGGAACTGCAGCAAGAGTGCTTATAAATCTCCCACTATTGTTCTCGATTTTTGCGCAAGCTTTGCAGGACAACTAACATTGGACGTATAACTGCAGCTTTTTCAAGGTTTTCATTTATCTGATTTGTTTGTGTTGTATACGTCGAACTAATTGTGACTGATTGCTCTGTTCTGTTGACCCTGTGTATTTTGTGCTTTGTACGTTAGCCTATTCTGAAAAATCTTCGCCGATTTTGGCCGGATCTGTTATCCACTGCGGATCCGGATCAATTTTGGTAAGCCCGTTATGTTACTACTATTACTATTATTATTTTCATCCCTATTTTCGATGGACTGCTCAATAGGATATCATTGCATTGTTATTCGTCCAGTGAAAGTTAGTTGGCAAGATCTGATGTCCAATAAATGTTTACATCACGGATTTTGTGTCTACACAGAAAATTTGCCCCACTCTCTGCAACACAGACGTTTGCCGTGGCTTATTTAAAGCCCTGATGATCACGAACTGTCCCAGTGAAAGTAAGCATTACTTCAAATTCCTGTCGGATGTGCAGGCGTTCCACCAAAGATCTAGATTGACATAGTCCATATTTATATGGAGCAGTTAGCAGTGCAAGCAGGGTATAGTATGTGGGACTGGAATTTTTGCTGGTTTGTGTTCTGCGAGGACCAAGCTTTGGATGGCTCATCATCAGAGACAGTTATTAAGCCAAATCCTCCATAAGCGGTAATATACCGAAAAAACCAAAGGCATGCAAATCAATGAACCGCACTGTCTTCAAGCTCTCAAACTAGCTTTATTGGAAACAAAGAATTATTCGTGCATATGTTCGTACTCCACCACCTAGGATTTCATAAATTCGTTCACTTCACGTAAGTTATTTCAACGTTTGATCCACTCTGTTTGTTTCCGACATATTTTCCCACAGGAAACATGAATGGTACAAACACGGTCGGTGCGCAATCGAAGACACCATCATCAAGAATGAGTTCGGCTATTTCAATACGTCCCTATTGTTGAAATCGAGAATACCGCTGATGGAGTAAGTACTAGTTGTTATTCACTTTCTACTGTTCAATAAAATAATGATCAAAATTCAATCTCTTGAGACAGAGTGGTTATATGATTAGAAGGAGGTAAAAAACATTTAAATAATATACTGTGAATGGACGAAAAAGGAGCAGCTAAACAGAACCGCACTGTCAACAGGGAATAACCAAACATGGGGAGTATATTCTACAGAAAATGCGGTTAATTGCACCCTAAACCAATGGTATTTGAGAACGGACACTTGAAATAATTTCGTAATTCACTCAAAGTTACTTGTGAGCAATGGTGTGGGATAATTGCTTTTTATTTAATTGAGCTAACTACACCATCTACATTCTTCGGACTTCACCTTCAGGCACAATTCTCAGTTCATCTATTTAACCAGACACTCGGAGGCAATAGATTCGAGTTTTGCTCTTATTAGAGCTCATCAGTAGTGCATATCCACCGTCCCTTCCGGGATTTGAACTCCAGACCCATCGCATGGAAGGCGTGTGCGTTACCACTGTGCCAACCCGCTCACAAGTGACTGTGAGTTAAATGCGAATTATCAATCCAGCCTTGTAGGTTCGTAGGCAAATCAACCCGTAACTTGCATGGAAGTCCTGATTTGGTGGGAAGCTTTCGATTGGAGTTAACAGGTTTTTATCTGTCTACCTTCGTTTCTGTCCCGCCAAATGAACTGACTGACTATCACTGAAGACGACACCTGAACAAACATGAATTGGCCATTTGGTCCAGTCGTGGTGTGAGTTGGTTGGCACGATGGTAACGCACACACCTTCCATGCGATGGGTCCGGAGTTCAAATCCCGGACGAGACGGTGGATATGCACTACTGATGAGCTCCAATAAAAGCGGGACTCGAACTAGTTGTCGGTTTGTTTATGGCTAACAATCTTGTTTGTTCTATTCCGTTCTCCGGCAGTAGCAGCCATGTGGTTAATCTGGTTGTCATTTGAGTCTCTTGCGGGTGATTGTCCGAATGCCGAACTAAAACATCACCACCACCAACAAAAATAACACGTAGATGATTCACTACCGAAACTAAAACACCTCAGTTTTCGAGTCCAGTATTAACTTCTATATACTTAAAATCCGGATGGGTGCTTCAAATTACGGCGCGTGCCAGTCAAAGTCGACTCTTCTTTATCACGATGAAGCTCTTTCAGTTCAAGCGACGAAAACCTGTCCCAGTGGCTATATAAAAGTTCAAATATTGAACATAAATAAAAGAAAAACAAGTAGACAATAGTTATGATACTCACATCTCGGAATGTTGTCAGTTTAGGTGTAAACAGACAACTCGGTAGAACAAAGCGGGCCTTGATGTTTAACTACACCATGAGGGAAGCCATTTCTCCATCTGATCGTTCTGGAGAGAAGAAGTGGTAGTTGGTGATGACAACAATTACCCTACAATTCTCAGTGTAAATGAAACTTCGCAGTATCTTTGGATATTAATAAGGCTTCGTTTTTCACTGAAAATATCAAATATTTTGAAAAGATATCATCCAGCTGAAAGCTGACCAGTGTGTGTGTGTGTTGGGGGGGGTGGTAATTTACAAGATGTGCTGTCCCGAATCATCAAAGGAACTAAACCTCTAACGATCAAACTCACTGACAGTGATGTACTTACAGTCCAGATACCAGTTAGTTACGCATTATAGTGACGCGGGGTTGGGACATTTTGAAGGCTCAAACCGGTTTCTTTCAAATACGATGGTCACTCGGATCGTGGTTGTTCTTGAGAGCGATAAGAAGTGAGATTCAACATCGGCAACTTGGTGTTGTGGATAATTTGGTACATTCTATTTGGATCAGTTAACAAGTATTTTGTTTTCTAATTAACGTTTTTGAATCTTTCATGTTTGATTCACATATACAGGATATTAAAGAAGGCTGGTATTGTACCAAATAACCAGATCATAGTTCAAGTAAGTCACATACGTTCCAACTTGTTTCATCTCTTCATAACAGTTCGATATTTCAGAGCAGCTGTATTGTGATAGTCTTTCTACCATGAAGGATATTTGGTGTGACCGACTTTCTTTTAAATTGATGTCTACGACGTGAGGTCCCCCTCTGGTGCGAAGGGAAATGTGTATTCTAGAACACTTAGGGCAGTAGTTTCTACGTTCTCAATCGAGGACGAGAGCAGTGCAGCTTTGATCTTCACTGTAGTAGAGAAAGGGAGATTCAGCTCAATTTGAATAGGCGCCTTTCAGCAGATAAATCGAATGGTTGAATACAACGAAGTTTCATTGGAGAGCTACGATAGAGGTATAACCGGTGACTTATGCCTTGTTTAGTTTACCTCTCCTAACATTAAACCGCCAAAAGCGGACTGAAAAAAGCAATGTACGGCTACCTTTTGAGCTTGTGGTTCCCTAGGAGCTCATAAGCTATTCTATATTGGTGAATGTAATGCAGGCATGTATGAATTCATGTCATTTTTAATAATGCTCAATCAATAAGTTACATCTTCTGTCAATGTCTCAGCATGTTCTAAGCTATCATAGTTACCCGTAACCTGTTTCAACCTGTGTGTATCAAAAGGTTTACTGAGGTGTGGTCGCTGTTGCATGCCACACCTTCTTGAACGCACAGGTGTAAGTCCGGAAAGTGATGAGTATCGAGGAGATGGGATATGCCCGAAAGAGACACAACAAACCAAAAGCTGAGTGGTGACACTACAAATGTAATGAAAACGACTAATCCACCGCAAAACGTGCACTAACCAAATATCAAAAGCACGTCCCGCGCACGCTCGACTATGTACGGCTAATTTTAGACTACCGGGCAGTATGATACACTGTTCTTATTTTTGGCTTATCTATGAGTTTCGGCCAGGCATTACCGAGTTACGCATCTCATTATGTTTGTGCCGAGCTGGCTCGATTTCTGAGAAAGAAAAGGCGATCGATAGCTCCTTCGTTGGCTTCTTCCGAATTCATTTTCACAGTCGTTTTATTTGCTTTAGCGGACGCCTTGTTTATTCCGAAGTGTCTTGAACATTGTCACAAGCATTATTCGCGTCCGATATGCGTGTGCACCTCCTTGCACGGATTCCATTCCTCTTCTATTGACTCGTTTTTTATCTTCCACCATGCTATCAGATATTACTTAAATTGTGTCGATCAACTGAACCCAAAAAGGAACGAGACTGACAGAATTGGGAATACATCTTGAATTTGTGGCTCTGGTCTTACGCGAAGTGTAGTCAGTGCCAAGCAAATAGCCTTTCATTACATTGAAATGCGATGGAAACGCGATGAAAACAAAGAGCACCGGAAAGCTGTTTCGTCCTGTTTGGGACTCATCTGCATTATGCACCTTTTGTATCCCTGTCAGGACTCGAACCGCGAACCTTGAGGTTGGGACTACAAACCCTTACCAGTGAGCTACACGGTTGACGGTCATCACCTTTTGAGAATGGCTAAATCAATTTAAAGTATCAAGCTTAGATTAGCCCATTCGGTTTGTCAGAAGCAGCAGGCACACTTGATGGTCTTGGGTGTGGGTTTCACTCCTTGGGAGATCATGAATTTCCCAAGAGATGATGCATTCAAATGCGATGGAAATGTTTGGTGGTGATCAGCAAAGAGCGTTTCTTAAAAAATGAGTCCTGTTGCTTGGTCTTTACGACTAGCGGAAGGTCAAAACCTCATAATCGACTTTTCCTCGCCATATACAGAGACGATTCAAGGGGTGGTGATGAGTTTGTGAGTTCCGATGAGCTTTTGCCATTTGACCCAGTTTCGCCAGACTAACATGTATGTAAACGACCGCAGTGTTCAATCATCTGGTATATCATTTGATCAAGCATGAAGTTTCTACAGAGTGAAAGTTTCGGTGTGAAATGTTGATCCAGTAGAGAACGGTGCTTGGCAGTAAAGCTCATTGAACCAATTCATGATGTGAGGCTGCATGTTTTAACCTCATGCTGTCGAACGAACCAAGGACTTTCAATTCTTTTATCGGCAGTTTACATGCTACTGTAATCATTTACTCTCTTTGATGTATATTACACTAGGTGGGTGAGCATACAGCGGGATATTATTTAGTTACTGTAGTGCTCGCGCAGAACTTATTGTTTGCATATCACTTGAAATATCAGTGAACACCGTCATCGTGTAGTATTTATTTGCGAGTGGGATGCTCATGTGTGTGGGTGTATTTGCACCTGCGGTAGATAAGACATATTCTTTTAACCCCAATCCGTTCATAGTGAAATGTATTCTATAGTTACAACGGAATTTGAATACGTTTTC